TAACCGCCAGTGTCAAAAAACAATAACAATTGAATCCCTAAGAAAACACAACTTCCCTCATGGAAATCAATGATCGATATCTTTGGAGTTCAATTATTAAGCAAACACTATATAAACTTCAAGACGTAACATGTTGGTACGCAAAAAAAAAATTGAGTTTGCCTAATAAAAATTATTCGCAAGGAAAACCAGAATACCAGAACAAAATCAAAGCAAAGGTGGAGCAAATCGATGAATACTATTGAGATACTAGATCACATGATCACGTTGGCTTCCAACATAAAAAGCTTAAAGTTACATTATGGCGTCATTTCTATAATGATGAAATTAACCAAGTTTGACTGTTGTTTTAGCCACAATTATGTAAAATTTGCGATCGTTGGGTAAATGCTACCACAACTAGTGTCAAAAAGCAATAATAACCATCGATGTCGCTAGTTCAATTATAAAATCAAACAATACAAACGTATCAATGATTGAATATATGGTCAATAGACGAAAGAGTTTGTCAAAAAACAATTTTGTTTAAAAAGCAAGTTCACATATACCATAAAACAGTCAAATAGTACCCGGTTTAACAAGGCTAAAGGGACAATTTCTTCAAATATCTTAATCTGTCGGAGAGAGAAATTTGTGTTTTTGGTACATTTTTGCTAAATCATAAGCGTGCTCAACCTAGATAACAAAGAAACTTTCCCAGTAAGTACGCAAGGAAATTTTGGATTTGTATCTAGAAGCAACAGATGTGATACATATGCCAGTATTCTTCCTGATATATGCCAAAACACTCATATTTCATTCAGATAGTCTTTGAATGTTGATGTATAAAGGAGTGCAAGAATGTTAACTTGATTTTAGAGGATGTCAAATAACTGTTATCCCTCCTTTGATGCAACAGAAAACACAAGATTTGGTTGAGGAAAACTGTTGTAGAGGAATTGAGAAGTAAAGACGAAACTAAGATTTCCTCAACCAAGTCTTTTGTGTTCTGTGCGTCAAAGGAGGGATATAAGTATTTTAATTAACATCCTCTAAAATGAAGTTTATAGAAACTCCTTTAAAATCCAAATACAACAAATATCAAGAAATATTAACTTAGGTTCTCGATAAGCACCGGCCAACACCTTCGTACAATCATTTTAAAACGGCGAATTTGGAGGATCGTCTTCTTTGCTTGCTTCAGCCATTGAGACTGAACGGTAAGACGAATCAAATTATAATTTACTTTACAAATAGAATTTTAATGTGAACGATTATGAATACAGTTTTCTTTTTCGTTAAAACTACTTATTTTTTTACTTTAATTCTTGACAACCAGGAGCGAGCACCTGCACTTCAAAGACAAATGTCTAATCGCAATTATATAACATTGGTACGCGTGGCCGAATGGAAGCCGTGCCTTTGATTTCTAAAGGCCCGTTTACACTTGCAATTTTGCAGCGCGACTGTCGCGCGACAATCGCCACTTTGTTCTCTCGCACCTCAAATCGTACGTGTAAACAGCCCTGCGATTAGAGAGGTTTAGCATGATGTTCGCGGCAAACGKCAGAAAAGAKCACGTGACCTGCTTTTTTAGAGTTTAACGTTGCAGTTTCAACGCGAGAGTGGGTTATTTTGAGTTTGCCATAATCGTGAAAAGCCGCTCTTTCCAATGACTACCAAAAGCATAAGATTGTGTTAAAATTCATTGGTTCAGCTCTGCCGTTTGCCGTTAATGTGATGCTTAAACTCTCTATTGTCCTGGTGATGCCGCTAAATTTCAAGCATATTCGATACTATAGGCGATTGCGCGCGACAATCGCGCTGCAAAATTTTCAAGTGTAAACGCCAACTGTGATTTGCACAGTGGAGATAATAATAGTCAATAAACAAAACAAATTTAAATACTATAGCTTCGTAAGAGTACTAGAGATAATAAAACTTTAAAGAATACGATATATTTTTTAATCTTAACATGTTTCTAGCATTACATAATGCCATGCTCAGAAGAATGAGGATGAGAATGAGCAATCAAAAATTGTCACATAAAATTTGTTCGTGTAGATCGGGCTTAATTCAGAGGTCTGAAGTTCAAGACTCAGAGGAGCTGACATTTCTTTAATTAGATTTCTTTCCTTGTCAAAAAATAAATAAATTCAACCAAATATAGATCAAGGAACCCGGTAACTGTAACTTAATGAGTAAATTAATAGAGAACAATGAGAATAAATTATAATTCTGAACACAAGTAACAAAGGCTCAAGTTTACAGGAAAGTGAGTGACTGAGTGACTGAGTGATTGAGAGATTGAGTGAGTGACAGACTCGTCCCCCTCCAATAACTCTTCGATTGCTTCGCAATCTTCGAGTTAAAAATGAGCTCTTAGGGACTATTCCGCAATTAGCGTGTGAACATTTTGAGGTTGGAATTGGAAATGAAGTAGTGTTCCATCCAATCAATGGAAATAAAAGTTTCTTTTCTCCCCTTGAACGGAGAATAAAATGATATAGAAGTGCTTTTACAATTTCCTACAATTGATTTCATACGATTGGCAGGGCAATATACTATTGAGATGCTCGGCATTGTCATATTGAAACTATAACCGTAAACGCTGCATAAACAAAATTATAATTTATATTGAAATCCTTAGTGTTATTAATTACTTTCCGTTCTAGGGACTTCAGATTGAGTATTTATGACGCCCGAGGATATTCTGAACAAAAGTCAAGGATTTGTGGCTCAAAGCGCTCTTTGACTTTCAACTTACTTGGTTATGCTGAATTACTACTATATTCTTGGACAAAACCAAAATCATGGTCGCCGCATATGTTCTCCTCTTTTTTCGTGCTTGAAAATGGACTTGGAAATTGTAAGGCTTTTTACGTTTTAGTGTTTTCAAATCAAATAAATTTAAATGTTTTTCACATTATTATCATATTCGTTTATGGCTCGGCTGTCTTACATTTGATCATTTAAAACAGAAAATGGATTGACTTATGATTCGGCTCCACAGAGAAAAGTTGATAGTGCAGCAGCTCTTTAAATTTTGCATTAGCTCTTATGAAGCATCTAGCTCTTAGCTCTTATCCAAGAAAAGAAACTATTTTTTCGATCAATTCTTGATGACAAAACAACATTTTTTTTATTTAAGCCGATAACAATTCAACAGCTATATCATTGATCTTGTTTCGTCAACCAATAAATTATTTTATTAGCGTGGCAGGATGCTAAGATCTTGGAGACGGAGGGAAGATGGCACCAGCGTAAATGGACAGAGGCATGTTACATCTCAAGCAACAAGAACGCTATTTTTAAYAGAGACTCCGGCAGAAAACTGCCTGATAATTTTATTTCTCTATTGAATTGAAAATACTGTAATTCTAGAACACAACCTTGATGATAGCTCGCGCTTATTTTTTGATTTTGTAAGTGCTCGAGGATAATKTTKTTTACGCCATATCGTGCTTGGAATTGTAACGTTTTAGTATTGACTCCATATATTAGCCCTGATGATGGACGTAAGGTCCGAAAGCTTGGTAATAAAATAATTTATTGGTTGATGAAACAAGATCAATGATATGCCTAAACCAACCAACAAAGAAATATTTGATATAATTCAACAGCTATTTATTCTTTGATTGCATTTTTATAGTTCCACCCATCAAGTCATGGAATATTTCGTCGTCCATGAAAACTTCAACATCAATCAACGTCAGCTGGGATGAATACCCGGGAAATGAAAGCGTCAGCAAATACTTTGTGATTTGCACTGCTAGAAAAGTTTCATTTGCCTCAACCGATGGGAAAAAAAATAGTTTGGTGGTTCAATACCTGTTAAAAAACACTAAATATAATGTAACAGTACTGGCAATACTTGGAAATTCCTCGTGTTTTAACTGCGCAAGAGTTGATGGGACTATTTTCAAGAGTCAAGAAGTTATTGTAAAGACGAGGAGGGACGACGGTAAGATATACATTGGAGAGGGTACATCACAAAARGGGTCTTGTGTCTAGCGTGAAAATCCAGTCCTCCTAAAGAGGCAATTAATTCACTTGCCGCATCAAAAGGGTCTTAATTCTTTAGCCTCCTTTTGTGGTGTCCCTTCTCATCATTGTCCTGACTCCAAGCAAAGCCATCAATCAACGGTAGCTTTTTTGATCAGTAATTTAGGCTTTTATTACCAAGCAAAAAGGAAACTTCGAGCGTTGTGTTGGTCTCTATCGTCTAGGTTCATGACGGTGAATGGGCTTTGCTGTGCGGCTGCGCAGCATCGGTTGATTAGCGTCTTGCGTGCTGTGTCTAAGTTTAGGCCAAGATGAGAGGATACATCACAAAAGGGGTCTTGTGTCTAGCGTGAAAATCCAGTCCTCCCAAAGAGGCAATTAATTCACTAGCCGCATCAAAAGGGTCTTAATTCTTTAGCCTCCTTTTGTGTTGTCCCTTCTCATTGGTATATTTGGGAAGGAAATTGCACCAGTAACATCACTTAAAGAAGGTCTGTAATCATTTTTGGACGGCAGAATTCGAGCATGATTCCAATGCCTTTAATTATAAAAGATCGATATAATTATCGATTTGAAGATGATTCCATAACAGAAACTTATAAGGGACTTGGAAAACGTAACGCACATACATTTTTCATGAAATTTAGCTGAAAATTCAAAATTAGATAATATGTTTTATTTGTTTTCATTTATATTACTCTGTATAGTTCCAAGTACACCGCCTCAACATGTCAAAGCATGGACGTCTGGGTCAACTGTTGTTGTTTCTTGGAAGCCTGTTGACAAAGACTTCACAAATGGTGTAATTGTTGGATACTATGTTTACTATCGCAAAGCCAGATGGCATTCTTGGGTTCTGCCTTTGAAAAAAGTATACATAAAGCCTAATAAAACAAAGGCCTATCTCAAATTTTCTTGGAGTTATGAACGTTACTGGATCGAAGTATCTGCCGCCACCAAATTTGGAGAAGGTCCAAGAAGCAGAAAAATATACATCACGTCACGTAAGGCGACATAGTATGCACATTATTTCATACGAGGCTCGATTTAATAGGCTATACTTTTTATTTGTTGAAATTATTAGGTAAGGAGTTTACATTCAAACTATAAAACAAGGCAACCTCTTGTTAAACATTTTAATTTTTACTTAAAATGCAAGTGGCTTTTCGTCATCGTCGTCGAGAATATTATGCTTCAAATTGGTAGAACCTACGCCTACGTTGCAGATGGTCTGCAGTCTCAGAATGAAAACAAAATGGCTGACAGACGTTTAAATAGTTCTAAAACATAGCTAAAATGCTCTAATGACAGAGCTGAAAATGTTACAAAATCAACTGATTACCGTCGAAACGACATGGAAYGAGGTATATAATTCAAGGTTGTCGGATGACTCGTGCAGAAATTACTGGGCATTTTCTACCTCCGACTCGAAGATCACTACTTCGCCACAACAAGTGTTCGATGTGAATCACAAAATCTTCAAAAATAAGATTTCGCATGGATAATTAAGGTTCATACTTTGACAGAAGAAAAATAATCATTCGATGGACTAAAACATATCAAACCTCATCTGAAAAAATATTGATGCCATTTTCTAAACTGAAGATGTGTTTGAAGTTGAAAATTCAAGCACGTGTGACCTTACTTATCTGTTTCATGCTTARCATATCAGTAGCAATCAAACAGCCATTAGTTCACTCTATTTTTCTTAGTTTAATTACCGTAATTAATTTCACATTACATTGTATTGTTTTGGCGCTAAGGATTATGTAAACCTGTAAAGATGATCAATATTTTTTCTTTAATTTCTATTCAATATATTGTTTGTAACTCTCACTTTTCTTACAATTGAGTTTGGCAACTTTTCGGAATATCAGTACAATATGTCATCTTAGTTCAATTATGACGTCACATCAAAACATTATATTGTTCTTTTTCGTAGCACTGTATGTCCCCACATGGGATTACACGAGGATATGGTGGTAATAAGCAAATACCAGCAAGACAGCACTTTCTTTCAAAACCCAAATGCAGAACCCGAGCAAGGATTATATGGTGATTGCAAAACTTTAACCTGAGACAAGGCTGAGAGACCAGGCAGTCTCTTGAAGGGAATTTGGGCAGAGAGAGAGCTAGAGAGCCTGGTACTAAGGGTAACAAAACTTTATCCCCAATGCTTTGTGCATTGAATGTGTGTGCTTATAACTAATAATTGATTAGTAATGGCATGCTTTATAGTAATTTATGGACTACAATTTTGGACAAAACTTCTCGAGACTTTGGCATGAGTTTGGGATATTCATCCACGCTTTTTGTGACTACCCATGTTCGTCCATATTTGTCCTGCTTAAGGTTACTCCCAACTAACGGCGAGTTAGTTTTTAAAAATCGCTCGCTTCGCATCAAAAATGCTCGTATAGTTCTGATTTTCACATATGTGATAGAAGGATTCCACTATCAGAACTATCAGAAGGTTTAAAAACCTTCTGGTGGTGTATTTAAGGTTTTAATCTGATGCCGCGATTGGCACACAAGCCGATATTCAAACAGTGGTCTTAAAATGCTTTGCCTTGTTGTGCGCGCAAAAATCCATGGATTTCTTTTAAATTTCAAAGTCTTAATGTAAAGATAATCAGCATTCTATTTTTGAAAAATTACAAAAATCCGCCTACTGAGTCCGTCGCTACAAAGCCGATTTAAAAAACGTTTTATTTCTAGAGTTTTATACGTGGAAGTAACATTTTATTATTATTATGTTTGTGCAATATTTCAAGCGCTTTTAGTGCTATACCCTAACTAAAAATACATGGCTTGCATAATACCTAACACTGTGAGATTTCTACAGCAAAACAAACATAAATTGAATTAGAATTCCTGAAAATATAAAAGGAATCCAATGTATAGCTGTCGTTTTAATTTTTTTACTTTTAAATGTTTTATTTACACCGTTTTAATGCGCGTTTTTTAAATCGGCTTTGTAGCGACGGTCTCAGTAGGCGGATTTTTGTATTTTTTCAAACATAGAATGCTGATTATCTTTACATTAAGACATTTAAGAAATTCAAAGGAAATCGATTGATTTTTGCGCGCACAAAAAGGCAAAAAATTTTAAGACCACTGTCAGTTTAAATATTGACTTGTGTCGGCAATCGCGGCATTAGATTAAAACCCTAGATACAACACGAGAAGGTTTAAGGATTCAACTATCATATATAAGAAAATCAGAACTATACGAGCATTTTTGATGCGAAGGGAGCGATTAAAAAAAAATATAAATTTCACTCGCCGTTAGTTGGGAGTAACCTTAAACCCATTCTCCCACTTTCAATTTTGTAGCTGTGTGGTTGACGGTTTGCTGTCAGCCCGTCGACAACAGCTGTGGCTGTGGGAGGCTGTGCTTTCGAATTTAAGCGATACCATCTCGTTTATTCATGCCTGATAGTTTGACAACTGAAAAGTATGCATTATACAAATGGTCATATATAAATTATAAACGGCATTGATTGACGACTCCAGTTAAAGAAGCTATCACTCATTGTGTTCCAAGGCTGGGCGAGCTGATGGAGAACTAGGACTAGTGAAAAAAAAACAACAACAAAAAACTAAGATTTGTATTAACGATGAGATGCCTTCGAATGGCAATTCATTCATGACTCACACCTTAAATACTCTGCATATGCAAATACCCATGGGATGGGTATTGCAAAACTTCGTTTACTTAGTCACTTATACTTAAGTGCTGACACGCGTCAATACCTCCCTGTCTACATTCCGTACCGCTAATAAATATATTTATACTCTATTCACTTATGAACGAGTATAAAACATTTATTACCTAAACTCCATTCAAATAATAAGACCAGACAACATAGTAGGGGCGGGCATCTCGTTTATTCATGCCCGCTTCGACGATAAAGAAAGCCATACGGAAAATATATATGAATTTGCTTTTGCTGTGCTTGAAACTAATTCTAAACAACATTTAACTTCTTCTTTTTTTTTCATTCACACTTAGCCAAACTACGTGAAACAGAAAGTAGGGAATCTATGCTATCTTTGACATAACCGTCCTTTGCAGTTTCAGACTTCCACCTGCCGTGTCTCTTGAATAATCGATCGTTGATACCGACGTTTGCTGCGGCTGTCGCACCCCCACTTCTCAAACTATGCAAACCAAACTGCTTTTTGTCATAGCCGATGCTTTCAAAGGCAGACAAAACAATTTCTCTCGTACGAGTGTAGCTCATCCCACGAGATCTAAGCTTATAGCTATTAGACGATTTGACAAAATATAAACTGCGAAAAAATGGTTCCTCAGAAAAATGATTAAGACTTCCAGCATGTACATATCTATTAAGTATGGTAAAAGGACAACAATGGTCATGAGAAGCGGCAAGCAGCACTTTAGCACCATCCCTGTAAATATCAGTTTTACTTTGGGCAATGTAAAGTTCAACAAAGTTATCAGGCTGTCTCGTGCAGAATTTCACATCGCAGCACCGGAGGCTGGAAAGTTCGTTATAACGTAGAAACCCATTAAARGYTGTAACACAGATCGCTGCTAATCTTAGGTCGGCCAGATTGGCACTTGGAACAGCAAACTTGGAGCACARTTCCGATATCATACGATAAGTAACCGGTTCTTTCTTTACAGTCGATTTACGCAACTTACGCTTGCCTGCTTCAAGAATGTGTTTGACGAGACCCGATTGGCAAGGGCTAGCATGACCATAGATATTATGCGCCCACTGAATACCATAAAAAGCCGACTCAAGTTTTGAATACRCGCAATTGTCTTCAATTAAATGCTCCAAGTACAGACCAACGCTACCACTATTAGAGGGCAAGATAGCAATTTCCTTATAATTTGACGCCCAAAACTTAAACTCATTAAATGCTCGAGAGTATCTATCAACCGTAGATGGCGCTTTAGCCTCTATAACACGTAAGGGAATTCGGCTAGCCAATCGCCGCAACTCAGGATCTTCAAACACCTTTACCAAGGAAGTACAAAATTGGGAACCCTGTGGAAATCAAAGCAAYACAACATCAGATGTTTGTTTCAAATASAATCGCCCTGTGGCGAGAATGGATCCTTTCGCCTCAGGCTCTTGATGATGTATCAGACGTTAAGACCTCCATCTATTAAAAGAAAAGCTGCAGCGCTATTAAAATTTTCAGATCCAAACAGAAATTCTTTGTTAGCACCGTGTTTTCCCTCTTCTATGTACCAAAATTGATTACGAACGGCCGAAAAGCGCCTTCATTGGTAATGAGAAAAAGCCAAAACACTGACGACGGCCAGACGGGCACAACTAGAATGCCACGACATTGGCACGCGCACACATGCTTTATAACGCGAGGAATAAGGTGCACGGGCGGCACTAACCAGCAGAATTCATTTCTCCAACTAAATGAAGAACAATCAACCCCGAGCGAGTCTGGTCAGAAAAATTTTGAATAAAAACGATCCACCTTGCGGTTTTCGCTGCTGGCAAAGCAGTCGATTGTGCATAAGCCCCAGTGGGCAATAACTTTTTGGAAATAACTATCTTTCACTCTCCAGTCCTCGTAATCAACGATTTTACTCATATAATCTGCTTTTTCATTCAGAGTGCGAGGAATCCATTCAACYTCTAGATCGATATTACTCATCTTTGTGCAATCAAAAATATCAACAGCTAGTTTATGCAAGTGCACTTTCATGCTTCCTGATTCGATGATAGACTTAACTGCCTGGTTATCGGTATACCATTTTACAATACAGTTAGACAGAAAACAGGTAAAACTCTCGAGTGCATAATGTACACACYTTAGTTCMCTCCAAGTGGRGCTTTGCTTCATCTCAATCACATTCCAATTTTTATGGCAGAGTGGAGTTCCGTCAATTGATACATATGCCGCGCAACCAGTGTTGCTGGCGTCAGAATAAACGATGTTCGAGGGGATACGAATTGGGACCACCAGAGATCTACTATTTACTTTGGGTATAGCTTCGAGCCAAAATTCAAGTTCCCTTCTCGAATCTGGATCTAATTCTACATAGGAATTCCAACTAGAGCGTGAATCTATTGTGCGATGGAGACCATTTTGTCATCAGTTTTCAAACATTACTAAATACAAACTTATTGGAAATAATTAAACCTTTTACGGATGCCAGCTGTCTGACACGTAGTTTTCTTAAGGCCAGTGCCTCATTAATACCAGCTAGCAGTCTAGCAATCTTGTCTTGCGGCACAGACAAAACTTTCTTATTTAGATTAAATACTGTCTGATGAGTGCGTAGCACGAAACTCGGAGTAACAGCAAAATCTTGCCTCTTTGATATTATATATATATAACTAGCTCTACACTTTATGTGTATTGAGCACTCTTTAATGGGATCAGCTACTTCCTCATACAATTATTTAGATCCCATATAAATCCCAACCATTTGGAACATTGGGTGGGGCGCCAAACACTTTTCTCCATGTTAGCCACAAAACCGCTACAGACCAGGTCTGATTGCACGTTTTTGCGCCTGCTTCATACACGATTGGAAACTAGGGCATACGCCAAAACCATCATCTAGATAAACCACAATCTTAAAGGCTTGGCTACGCCAATGTTTAACGAGGGGCCTCATAACTTTGGTAAAAATGTNAATCTTCGGCCAATTCGTCGGACTCGTACTCTTCAACCGCTGTCCAACCAGCGGGACTTTTATCAGCGAAACGGATTAGTTTGTTTCTCTTCTTCACCACCGTTTTTAGCTTCTCGATCTCCGAGTTGGTCTTCGTGAGATTCCCTTCCAGTAGAGTTTTGCTTATCAGGTCAAGACCATCCGCGACGGATGTGTTAAATTCATACTGTATCTTGTTTCCTTTAAACTTAAAGGAGCTAGCGGCCTTGGTCTCTGTCTTCAGCCTCTTGATTTGCGACTCGTGATGTTCCTCCTTCTTTTCTGCGCTTTAAAGTGCACATGACACCTTTTAGAAAAACACTTTTATCCGAAAGTTTACACGCTGCCAACTACTTCTGCGAAAAAAGAAATAGATTTTGAATTGTATTTTCTGAGTTATAGACATTTGAAAATTGAAAATGCAAATGAAGTGACGTCAACTAAGGAATTGATCCAGTCTTTTTACATTGTTTGCGCTATGCTGTTCTTGGTTGAAGAGCACAAATCATCAATCATAGTAATAATTGAGAGCTGAAAATGCTTTTTCCAATGTAACAAAAAGAATAACGTTCTCTTTCATGATTTTGTATATTAAATCATTCCTTAGTAGACGTTTTAAGTTTTAATCGCCCATAACTTACAAAATACAATTTGAAATCAATTTCTTTCTTCACAGATGAACTTAGCAGTATTTTCTCTTTTGGATGAGAGTGAATTTCTAATGGTGTCATGTGCACTTTAAGCTTGCCAGCTTCTGGTCAAGTTTGAAATGTAGCAGTTGCATGAAGCGATCCATGTCGTGGGACCAAGTGTCTATTCCAGAAGGACCAGGGCCAGTTGTAGCTGCTGTTAAAGGCTCCGTATCGCTAGCCACTAGATCAATTTCAGTTTCAGTTTCAGGCATTATAGAACAAGACGAAAAAACTAAGATTTGTATTAACGATGAGATGCCTTCGAATGGCAATAGGCCTTTTCCAGTATGGCGGATTTTGTACCATGTGACCGTTTCATGCAAAAGGCCTATTCATTCACGACTCACACCTTAAATACTCTGCTTATGATACCCATGGGATGGGTATTGCAAAACTTCGTTTACTTAGTCACTTATACTTAAGTGCTGACACGCGTCAATACCTCCCTGTCTACATTCCGTACCGCTAATAAATATATAAATTAACCCTATAGTCCCAAACATGACTCCAAAGAATTTTGTTCAAGATTGTAATCTATTTTAGATATCTTAAAGTAATCAAACATTTATTGGGAACTCATTTCTCTAGTTTTGCTTTGCAGTTATCGAATAGTTGCTATATTTTTTTAAAGTTCTTTATAGTTTAGTGATATATTATTTCAACGTATGGCCCAAGTATATCAATATATATGTCTAAGTAAATGTCTATACAGCCTTTTGCAAAAATTATGAGAATTGTCTAAATATCTAAATATCTAAATATCATAATATCCATATCCACATATTGTCCGGAACACGCGGGTTTGCTAGAATAATTCATTGTTGACATACGGATAAGTCCATCGCCAAAAAAAACTAAACWACAAAGACAAGGGACTAAGGGCATCGCGTGGGATCATGCACTTGATATTATGATATTTAGATATTTCAACAATTCTCATAATTTTTTCAAAAGGCCGTATGTCTTTTATATGTCTAAAATGACACATCGAGTTCGAGACTCGATACTAAAAAAAGTTATACTATGATGTAATTTAAAAAATGTAGCAAAAATATTTGTGGAATAAAAACGTGTTGCTTCCGTCCTGTTGAATGACCGAATTGCATGATGGTAAGGTAAATAGACAGGGATGCAGAGGGCGAAAACTCGGTGACGAAAGCCGTGATTTCGTATTCCCAATTAAGGGGTTGCAAGAATATCTCGCCACTACTTAGTCGGGCATTGTTTGGGGAGTAATCACCAAAAGTTAATACCAGATTTTGTATTTTTTTAATATTTTTTTAATCAATTTCTCAACTCTAAACATATCCTACATTAATAATGAAGAGGACTTGAAAATCACCTTCAAAAACTAGTAAGTTTTTTTTTTTAATTTTGTGTAATTTGGGCGATTAATATAACGAAGACCGTTCATATTCTTCGCTTTCAAGAACATCACAGCCGCCATCTTGGATGAAATTACAACAAAGTATTTTTTTTTAGTATCTATTGTTCATTCCTCCAACATGGCCGCCAGTCTACTGTTCTTTAAATCCCATGACAATGGTTCAAAACTATCATTATATCGGGATGAGGCAGTGCTTGCAAAACCTGGCAATGCACAGCGATCCTCGGAAGAGACAGTGCTACAGTTTCGGTATCTTGTTTTCGTAGCCTCAGGCGCAAAAACGTACGATAATACTTCATCATATCAAGAAACTATTATTGTAATTTCAAAACTCTGTTTGCATAGTAAAAACAAAGTGTACGTATAACCAATTCTGTGTGTAAAATGGAAAGTTTATATATGAAAACTTATACCTGAAACTGATGTTTATATAGCTATTTCAAAAAAGGTTGTCGGGTAAAATGGCGATTGTCAATGGTCGAACGGCGATTGCACGACCGAAAGTAACCATGGGTTTTTCTAGTTGAAAGGCAATAACAACTGATTTGTACTGTAAGGTGGTCTGTGGTAAACATTGGCCCCATTTATTCACCATTTCTCTGCAAGGTGAATCCAAGTGAAATTCTGTATATCAAAACAGTGTAACCATAGTCCCTTTCGGTCGTGCAATCTCCCTTCGACAATCGCCGTTCACCGTTCTCCCCGACAACGTTTTTTGAAATAGCTGTATGTTAAATTTAACAATTCGCAGGCGGTTTTCCATTGTCTGTACTCTTATTGACAATGAAATTGACGTCAAAATGCTCAAAACTCAAGTGGAACCACGAGCGTAAGCGAGTGGTTTCACTGCAAAGTTTTGAGCATTTTTGACGTCAATTTCATTGTCAATAAGAGTACAGATAATGGAAAACCGCCTGCGAATTGTTTTTTGCCATAAAAAAGCTGAAAACAAAGTAAAACTTTAAAAACAAAACCGTTTCTAGCSCGCKCCGVCTCCRTGCKYGAGCGATTCGTCATTTCATCCGTCTGTCCTAGGATTGACGACGGCCCTCGACCAATCAGCGCGCGAGAATTCTACAAGTTATGGTAAAAGTGCTTATTTCTTATGTGCTCAATGTAACTAAAAAAGATCTGTGTGCAGTGTTCCTTGACGTMTCGKYTYAATGCTTTGCTCGTGGTCACTKARCCTGCGTATGGAAAGTCGTGAAGAGGTGAAATGCTGTCTTTGTTAAAAACCGAAGAAAAAGGATGTGATGACACCATTTATTTCAAGCCTTATTATCAAAAACGACGCGCATGACCCGAAATTAATCTACCATGCGAGCAGAGGAATTTTTCCACTCCTTAATCTTTTGCGAGCATAGGAATTTCTCCAACCACTTCTTCGTAAAAGAATCGCGCAAGGTATAGAATTACTCAAGTCAATTAAATAAGTCGATGTTAAAGTGCAAGTGATTCATTTTGGATAAACAGTCCTTTTTTGGCAGTGCATGAGACGCCTAAATAATTTCCGCTTCAAGTGAGAAAGACTAGAGTTTTATTCCGGTTTTTGTAGTTGTAAACACAACAAAGGCGAAAACTTTATTCCCGCTCCAGAGATGTATTTGGTTTTGCTCTCTACTTTACTTATCCTGGGAACAATACCTATTAAAGGTAAGCCAGAGTTCTATGTAATGTTGAGCGTAACCCAAATTTAATTCATGAAGGTGCATGAAGTATGAAAAATAGGAATTAATTGTGCATTTACTGCGAACTACGAAATAAATATATGAGATAATCGCACTTTCCTAGCACAGAAATTGGAAAGTACATAAACAATAATAAATACATAATCACATCAATTTCCAGAATCATGCCAAGATACGTATAATTAAACAATAGAATTCTTAATTAAAGATCAACAGAACTTATTAGAATTTATTGAACAATCACATCATATGTTCTCGGATTAAGTATGAAAATAAAAAATAGAGTATACTTTAATTTTGAACTTTGTAATGCAAAAAATACATGAAATGATATGATGCGATATCATGTCCGTAACAGCTGTTTCACATATGCAAGCTACGACATTTCCGGGCTTCCAATGTTGCATTAAAAATAAACCATCCCCGCTCCCCTTCAGTTATCATTTGGGATATTTTTTCCGGTCGTCACAATAAATATACGATACGACTCCAACCTACGGTAAAAATAGAATGAACAAGATGCTCTAATATTATATTACACACGTTACTTGGCACTTAGCAGGCATAATCTGCAGAACCTTGAACCTTAGTAAAATATATACAACTTTTAATGGGATTAAATAAGACAATTGGCACGGTGAATACGAAGATCGGTGAAGACTAGAAAAACGTAGAGGGCTCACGTGCATATCGTGCGTGCACAGCCAAGCAAAGTATGGAAAGTGCTTGAGTTTGGAATTCCTACTACACAAGCGCTTTGACTGCGAAAAGTCTTTCTAGGCGAGCTTCCCCAACCTCACCCTAGCTGTGTCGAAAATGTTAATCGTAGTTTGTAATTATCTTCTACTTGAGAAGCAATAAACGAGTAGCAAATCAGAACGATCATTAAAAAACACAACTTTGAGTGAAGGGGGAACTGGGGAAGGGCAGAAAACAGTAGAAAGTATACGGAGACATTCCATGATACAGCGATTTTCAAAACATCGTCAATTCTTTTTGTCCAGGATTGTAGCTATCTTTCATTCGTGAAAGATATTATAACAAAATAGTGAAATAGTATATATATGTTTATCTCAGAATTAAAAAAAAAAAGAATGAGAATAATTTCA